ACAATGGAATAATAGTTAAGTAAATTGTAAGTTCCTATAATAGAATATTATTCAATCATCAAAAGTGATGTTGCACATGAATACTTGTTGATATTGAAGATGTTTGATACACTCAGTGATTAAAAACAAAGCTTTAAACAATAAAACAGTATGATCTTGTTTTCATTTTAAAGGGTTATCTATCTGTTTCTCTCTATAGCTCTACCTCTCATCTACCTATTTACCTACCTACCTACATGAAAAAGACTGGAACAATATTTTTCATGAGTTAATGTTAGTTACCACTGGTTGGTGTTTTTCATTTTCTTTATTATTTGTATATTGTTGCTTATTATTTTTTCTTTTCAAAAAAAATAAATATTGCTTTTGCAATGATAAAGCAAGTGCTATTTTAAAATAAAAGTATAGGGCTTCCCTGGTGGCGCAGTGGTTGAGAGTCCGCCTGCCGATGCAGGGGACACGGGTTCATGCCCTGTTCCGGGAGGATCCCACATGCCGCGGAGCGGCTGGGCCCGTGAGCCATGGCCGCTGAGCCTGCGAGTCGGGAGCCTGCGCTCCGCAGCAGGAGAGGCCACAGCAGTGAGAGGCCCGCATACCGCAAAAAAATAAAAATAAAAAAATAAAAAATAAAATAAAATAAAATAAAAGTATATATGTATTTTCTCTTTTGTGCAACATATGACAAAGGTTTACTATTTATTAAATAAAATGACTTACAAATCAACTAGAAAGTGAACTATGCAATAGAAAAATGAGTAATAGATAATTCCCCAAACGAGAACTATAAATGACCTGGGAACAAGAAAAATTCAACCTCACTAGTAATTTAAAAATAAAATCAAAATGAGATCATCTTTTTCTATAACCAAGTAGAAAAAAGCCTTCTAAAAAATAGAGAATTAATTCTCTATATATGACAGCAAATGTTTAGGGCTATGAGATCCGTTGTACAACGCAGAGATGGGAACAGTGTTTCTAGAGAATATGACCAAAAAAAGCCTTAATTTTGTTCATGCCATTTGGCTTGGATGTTCCCTTTTTCAGAATTTCCATAGGAGATATTTATGGGCTTGTGCAAATGAGGATGACCAATAGAGTATTGTTTGTAATAGTGAAAACTGGAAAAAACTCAAATGTTTCACTTAAAAAACTCAAATATTTTTAAAATAAGAAATTAATTAAATTATGGTATATCCATAAAATGGAATATTATTCAGAAATTAAACTGAACTTTTAGAAAAATAGTTAATGATATAGAACAGGTTTATAATATCCTGCAAAGTGGAAGGAGTGCTCCTTTTCTGCTCTATCACGATACCAGGGAATGTGTTCTTTTGGTGCCCTGGAACTCTCGTCTTGTTTGATATTCAACCATTTAACATCACTTGTGGGTGCTTCACCGGTGCCTGTCCTGACACTTGGTAACAATGACCCTGTGAGTCTCTCTCCTGCTCTTTTTGAACTCATACAATGATTTTACAATGGGAAAAAAAAAAAAATCTGTATTTAAAAAGGAAAACAATACTGGTAAATACTGGGCCCATGTCCCTGAGATACAGAACCTTGGGATGACCACTAAGGCAATAGGACAGTGATCTTGACAAAACTTGCAAATGCATTTAGAGCTAACATAAAAAATACACATGCCATCAATTGGATTTTTTGATTAAATTGACAATGCTAAAATATACTTTTTTGCTATTCAATGAAAAGACTGGGATAGGAAATCAGGAGTATAAGGGGTATGGTGTATGCTTTGAAACTACATGCAAATTATAACTCACGTCCACAGAGTCATTGTGATTCAGTTGTTCCCTCTGTAATCATCGGAAGCACCTCAGCATGATGATTGAGAGTTCAGTGTCTTTTGGTCACAACCTAGGCTCTGCTGCTCTGTGTGCTTAAGGCCAGTTACACAATCTCTCTGTGCCTGTTTCCTCACCTAAAAAATGGGCATAATGATAGTACTGACATCACAGGGATATTGTATGTTTTAAGTTAAAATATTTACTTCAATTTAAAAATATACAACTCTCTCACTTGTGTGCTTTATAGAGAAGTTCGATGTAATTCTTATACTCGTAGGTTGTCTCATTCCCTCCTGGCCCCCTTCAGGCTACTTTCAAAATTTCATCTTTGTCTTCAGTATTCTTCAGTTTCTGCATGAACTGCCTGCATTTGTGGTTTTGTGTTTGTCAAATTTTGAAATATTCTTTGCAAATATTACTTCAAATATTTCTTTTGTTCTAGTTTTATTCTTCTGGTATTCCAATTGTGCATGTTACACCTTTTGAAATTGTCCCACAGTTGTTGGATATTCAGGGCTCTTTTTTTTTCTTGTTACATTTCAGTTGTGGGCATTTCCACTGACGTATCTTCAAGCTCCCTGATTCTTTTCTCAGCTATGTCCATTATACTGATGAGTCCATGAAAAATATCCTTCATTTTCGTTACAGTATTTTTATTTCTAGCATTTCTTTTTTTTTTTAGACTTTCAATATCTGCTTATATTACCCATCTTTTCTTACATGTTGTCTACTTTTTTTTTCATCAGAGCCTTTAACCTTCAGAAGTGTTTCTCCTGTATATAGCTTTCTCCCCACTGCCACTTACTTGCTTCCCTAGCTATATCACCCCCAATCTCTGTCCTTGAAGTCCTCACCCCTTTTAACTGAAATGTTTCTCCTTAGGTGAGACATAAAAGCTGGAAGTATCTGGACTAAGCAGTAATTATCTTCCACTAGCTGAGACAATACTGTCAAATTCTTTCCCATGGAATATAGGACTTTGTTACATGATACCTGGTTAAGTTCTTGGAGGTAAATCTCACAAAAGTTATGGGATTTCCTTAAATCTGTACCCTCCAGGATTTTTTCAGTTGTACGCTAGTCCACAGCCAGCAGACTCTGCCAATTCATCAAAATGCCAATTAAATATACCTACCAGCTTAAATATATATATATATATATATAGGCCTTAGAGTAAGCATTCCGTAAATGCCAGCTGATGGTATTACTCATTACTATTGTTACTATGATGGATTTCTAGTTGTTATTTTAGTTTTCAGTTCCTTTAAATATTTAGTAAAATTGGATGGTCTATATAAACAGTTCCTTGCTTGCTCACGTACTCATTCACTGACTGTAGTTACCTATGTCTCTCTGACTTTTTTGCTTTGAAATCTTAAATAGCAGAGCCTAAAAGACACACAGAGAATCTATGAGGCTGTGGAAGGCGTGCGGAAGAGACAGGAAAGTAAGGGCAGTTATCCAGCAATGGGGAGGGAAACAGAGCACAGCTCAAAACAGCAGACAGCAGAACAGGGCAGTGGAAACCGTTTTGAGGGGCAACACGTTCCCAGCAGCACTGGCCCCATGGCAGGTCCTCCAAGTTACTCTAACTGTCCTGACCCTGCTTTTCTATGGAGTAGTTTTTCTGATTGGCCTGACTTCCATGTCTTTCTTTTATAATAAAACTCTGTCAGCTGAGGAAAATTGAAGACGTCTTTGACGTTTGCAGAGCATATATGACACACACATGTGTCATGCCATGGATAACTACGGGAAACTTCCAGACTTGATGGTGGCCTTCTCCAAGTTTTCTGCTTTGCTGGCCGCTTGGCTGCTTGACTCACGCTGCAACCTTATTCCTCATCTAGCCCTTTGGATGACTGTCTTAACTTTGGACTTAGCATCATGACTTTAACCTAAGGCACCTCTCAAGGTCTCAGTGCTAACTTCTGGCTTCCTTATTTGTAAATCAGAATTCTTAGTAAGCATGTATTGTCGTAGCCCATGGAATCTTCTCTGCCATGAAATGGTAGAAAGATGAGACAACAGGCAGTGATAGAGAGTGAGTAATGGGCAGCCAGACTGAAGGGGAGGTGGTGTGTCCAGGAGAATTTTAGAAAGTAAACTGATAGAGTTTTCATGGGTGAAGGAAAGGGACAAGTCTGTGTTTTTGTCTTGGTTGCCTGGAATGACTATGAACAAGAAAATGGCAGGTTTTCCAGCAAAGATGAAAAAGTTTTTGCATGCAGGTGCCTTTGGAGATTTTAGGTAGAGCCTTCTAGAAGCAGTTGAAAATCTGCTTTCAAGAATTCAGACCATTTCTCCTTTGCCCTAACTACCAATTAGGTTGAATGGAAGTAAGCTGATATAGGGTAGACTGCTATTTTCTCTTCCCTGTTTATTTGCTTTTCGGGAGAATTTGGGTTCATACTATATCAGGAGAGATATCATCCATGTTGGCCTCAGATAAAGCTATATTGTGTGGGCACCACTGAGAAATCTTGTGCACCAAGAATCTGACTTCCAGAGGTTTTTTTTTTTTCTTTGTAAGAATCATTAGATGTAACAAGATAGGTGAATAGTCATGCAGAAAGTTGATAAACAGCCCTAGATTAATTGTACTGCCTATCAAATTGGTTTCTAGAAGGAAAAAAATGTCAGAGTGCACAAACGTCAGATTTGAAATAACTCAGAGCCACAAGAGCATCTTGCAAAATCCCATATTATAAACTATGCTTTATAAAGAGATTTAATAGACTGTGGCAATAAAATTAATGGATGACAACTTTAAAATGTGTGGCTTCAAAAACAAGTGCAGAAGAAAATGGTAATACTTTGCAAAAGGGATATATGTAATAGTCCACAATGTTATTTAGAAAGTTATTATTTCTGCCAGGGTGTTTGTTGTATGGATGAAATAAAAAGAAAAAATAGCTAAATAACCAAAAAGGAACCGAGTTCTGAAAAAAGGAAGAAATAAAGATAAGAGCAAAGAAAAAGTACCAGAAGAACTTTCAAAGAAAAAGGTAAATTAATTAGCCACAAAAGATGTTTTTCAGAAAAGAAAATGTAGGAATAAAATAAGCAGATTAAATTCATGACAAGTGCACACAAAGGAAAATGTTCTAAAGAAGAAACACAAAGACAGAAAAAGGGAACTTATTTCTTATCACAATAAGAATATAGCCTTGCTGATTTATCATTTTATTCCTTGGAAACCTATCAATAAAGTAAGCCACAACTCTGTAGAATACAACCAAATATAAAAGTGTGCGTTAAACTCAAGAAATATTGAATAAAAAACCAACACCCGTCTTTGGGTGAGGAGACAATCAATGGTTTTCCCTTCCTTGTAGTTTTCTGTGCTTGAGCTAAACTTCTTACAGGAAGATACGCTACTTTCCTAATGGACGAGAATGAACTCTATTAAAAATGGAGCTCTCAGCTGCATTTTGTATCAAAATTTAATACAGCAGATGAGTCTTACTCTGCTGCCAGCTAATTCAGGAACTGAACAGGATGACATTCTTTCCTGTACAGTATATAATACAAACTTTCCCCATGAGGAAGAGTAGTTATCTCCAATTATCTGACATTTTTCCTCCCCTGCCTTTCCCATGACCCACTTTCCACCCACCCCAGGAGTTCTGCTCCGTCTTTTTTTTTTTCTGAGAAACAAACAACATGGTACCCATGCCCGCTACTGTTATTTCCTATCTTGGGCTTCTTGGGCCTCTGGTGCTGGACTCCGCAGGCTCCTAGAGTCCGAGAGGAGACTGGAGAGTTCTACCTGCCCATCTTCGACCTCAGACTCCCACACTCCCCTCTGCCCGCTCGCACATGCGTTCCAGGATTCGGTGGATGCTGGTGAAACTGGGCCTGTCTGCAGGCAGCTCGCTCCAACACAGACGCATGAGATTGTACAGTTCCAGGGGGCAGTTCTCTGGGCAGGAGAGGATGTTGCCGTCCCGCACGTAGCAGATGACCTCCTCGTGGGCCATCCCGTAGTAGGGCTGCAGGCCGTAGGAGAAGATCTCCCACAGGAGCACCCCGTACGCCCACACATCAGACTCTGTGGTATAGCGGTTGTAGAAAATGGACTCCGGGGGCATCCAACGGATGGGGATGGCGTCGTTTTCGTTGGCTTTGTAGTAGTCAGCCGAGTAGATGTTTCTAGAGAGGCCAAAGTCGGCGATTTTCACCACCATGTTCTCACCCACAAGGCAGTTCCTGGTGGCCAAATCCCGGTGGACAAACTTGCGTTCCGAGAGGTAGGCCATGCCGGCGGCCACCTGCCTGGCGATGCACAGCTGCTCGGCGCAGGAAAGGGGCGGTGGGCCGGGGCTGGAGGCCTGCGCCCCGCGGGTCAGGTCGCTGGGACTGAGGCTGCGTCCGGGGTGAGGGGACATGCTGCGGAGGAACTCATTGAGGTCCCCGTAGGCCATGTATTCAAAGAGCAGGCACATCGGCTTCCCCACCGCACACACGCCTAGAACCAAAACAAGGCCTCCTGTTAGAGGTTGCGTTTCTAAAGTGACAACGTGGGAAAAAATTGTCCGAAAGCAAATGACCAGATCAGAAAATGTGGTGGCTTGGTTTTCTGTTGAGGGCATCATAGTCGAACTCTGACCCCCTTTCTTTGTGTAAACATCTCCTATTTATCTTTTAAGATTCAACTGATTTATTACTCCTCATGGGGTGCTTCAGCTCCTGACCTTTCCAGGATCAGATTTTCCTTCCGTCATTCTTTATCCTTAATCCTGCATCCTATCTACCTGCCTGTTATAATCATCCATTTAGCAGAGGTTTCTTCCCAACATTTTAGCCCGTTAAACGAGAGATTATATCTTAAGTCTTCTTTAAATTCCACACACCTACCGTGTGTCTGGCGAGCAAGTACTCCATAAATATTGGGTGAATGAATTTATGAGTGGATGTTTGCTCTGAGTATGTAATGCAATTGCTCTGTTTTTCTGCTTCCTTTCTCAAGAAGGATGATAAGGAAGCTGTTGTATGAAATTTGGAAAAGGAGCACAAAAAACAATCTAAGATCTTAGATGAAGTATTCAGGTTACTGCAGTAAAGCATTTAGGTAAATTTACAATGTTCATGCCAGAAAGAAACAAAATGTTGACATAAACAGTCTTAGATTTAGTGCCAGGAAGACATTTGTTAATTTTAAAATCTTGCTGTATTTGAGAGGGAAATGGACAACTTGAAATATTAGATCAGATGGTCACAATTTCACATCAGCATAAAAATAGATCATTAACTACTTTTTTTTCAGGCAAAAGTTAGAAGTCTGTTCAAAAAGGAAGAGAAATGAGAATACTATTATCTTGGCTTGTTTATTTTGGTGTTAGTTTTTAATTCCAGGGACTTTAGCAATCTGTATATTTATATGTACTATATAAATTAAATTAAAAAATAAAAAATTAAATACAAAATTGGTAAAAGAGTTAATGGAATTACAAAATATTCCTCTGAGAAGTTTTTTGAAACTTCAATTTTTTGAATTTAGGTGATTTAATGAAATAGTCTACTCCCTAGTACAGAATATATTCTATGGGGAGGAACAGAGACATCTCTCTGATCAAGGAATGAAAGAAAAAACGTAAGTGAAGTATGAAGGAGAAAAAACTTGGCAAGCCTCTGTTTTCTGATGCGATACATTTCTTCACTTATATTTTCATACCTAAGAGTTTCACAATGTTAGGATTATCAAATTCTGCCATGAGGGCTGCCTCCCTCTGAAAGTCTGCTTGCATATCTGCTGAGGCTTCTTCTTTGAGCATCTTCACTGCCACCATTGTGAAAGGTTCATAGGGAAGTAAGCCTGGAGCCCTGAGAGATACATTTATTTAGCAAGAAATCAAAGATCAGGAAGATTACACAGAGTCACATGAGAACTACCCATGTATACACATCCCCACACTCATGCAGCCTTTCCCAGAGCCACAGAACCAAAGTAAGATGCCAATGGCAGGTCACACTTAAAGCTCCTTGACTCCAATGAATAAAAATCACTGGGGTTATTTTCAACATAGATTGTTTGAAAAATGCATTATTTATTAATAACAGAAAACCAAAAGTGCCCAAATCCAATGGGATTATCACTACCATCCTAACCCCTTAATCTCTGGCCAGAATATAAATTCCTGGAAGGCAGGGACCATGACTTATTCATCTTTATATCCCCCAAAGAGCCTAAAAGCGTGGCTTGCATATTTTTTTGGTTCCCAATAAGTATTTGTGTGAGATTTTCATTAATCATGTAACCTCCATACCAGGGCCACTATGAGTAGAAGTAAGGTCGTATCCTGCCCAAGAGCAACAGGCCAAAGTAACAATTGGTGATTAAAACCAAGTCCACACTCTGTGGCCCAGCTGTGTGTCTGTGGAGCTACATCCATGCAGAGAGGATATTTTATTCCAACTCACACAAAGACATTAACTGGGCTAGCACTGGCCCTAATACATACTCGTTTTTTTGAGCTCATTGTTGGCTGACATTTTTGCGTAATTTTTTTTCCTTTTTCTGTCTTGCCATTCTGTGAACATCTATTTAATATCCATACATGTCAGGCTTTGAGTTCTTAAGCTGAAACACTATTTCAAAGTAAACATTAAGTGAAGTGGAGACTATAGCAATTGAAAACGGAAGAGGTTTTAGAAGTATTTACTAAAAGCAATGTGAGAAATGATTATTTAAAATGTACAACGAAATTCTCTTCCGAAAAGAAAATATGATTAAACTTTGCTAATTGCTTATCATCGGAACACTTTATAAAGATTCTCTCCATATACACACCCTATTTTCCAGCAGAGGGGGAAAAGTATCAAGATTCAAAGTACAGTACTCAATAAAAATAAGGTGAATGATGTGAAGAATGAACTAATTTGATAATAACTATTATACATATTACATAGAATCAAGTTAATGTCTGGTAACTTTTCAGACACAACGTATTTCAGTTGGTAGTTTTTTTTTTCAACGTGGGCAGCTTTACCTTGCTTGAAAGACCCTTCCAAATGCTCCCTCTCCGATATCTCTCACATATTCAATGTTATTCCTGGGATACTCCAGGCTGAGCAATTTGGGATTCAGAAGAAGTGGCATCCTCTGGTACATGGGGTTGGGATGAAGTCTGTCTAGCAAGAGCTCAGAAGGAAGAGTAGTGAGGGTTACAGCCGCTGATTCTCTGCAGGTAAGACAGGTAAGATCAATAATGAGCTGAGGACCAGGTGAGAGCTTTGTACTCAGACTTAGGTTCTAAAGAGACATGGTGTTTAGGAGGAGACAAATTATGCTAAGTTCACCAAAGATCCTTCCATTTTAGAGCCACGAAGAATTTGGTTTGGAGCCTAAAGGTACATTCTTTTTTTCAGGAATTGTGTCACTATCCAATCTGGTAGTGGCAGTGGGGCTGAGGGGGCTGACAGCGAGCAGGAACGGCCATATTCTTCCAAACTATGGTTTAGATTCCATCTGCTGTGAAAAATTAACCTTAGGACATGGATCCTATGCAACAAGTCATTGACATTTTTAAAGATCATGGTGGGGCTGCTTACCATTAAAGCAAGGCAATGGCTGTCATAAAGGAAGTGGCAGTGTTATATATACCCCTCCTCCCGTCTCCAGCTTCAATACCAAATACATAAAGGTTTTAAAAATGTTACTACACGTGGTTCACTTAAACTAGAATCTCACCTTTTCTTATTTTTCCATTGTTTTCGTCTTCGGCAGCAATAAAGAGTGGTTACCGTAAGAAGCACGAATATGGCAAAGCTGGACATGATGGAGATTATTACAGTCATGGAGTATGTAGGTGAGACAGAGGAGGAAGACAGGGAAGAGGGAGGCACGTTTGGAATGTCCACACTCGGCTTTGAGGACGTCATTGGTGGGAATGCTGTAAGTCAACGACAGATTTTCACTCATTCTTAAACTTTTAAGCAGGAACTTTCGTATTCAGGCAATCAGGAAACTAAATTTAAGATTATGTTCTAATGTGTCAGGTTCTCCCTGGTTATATATCTGTAAAGCACAATTGTAAGAATCCAGTGAAGTCTAGTTGTAAGTAAATCCAGCTTACAGAATCATAGAATTTTAAAGGTGAGACTCAGAGAAAGGAAATACTTTTTCCAAGACAAATGCAAATCCTGGGCTAGTGTCTTTACACTCATCATAGTTTTTATGACCTGACAACAATCATGGACATTGTTAAGTTATTAAATACTTTTATGAAATTGAAGTCAGGATTGTCTAAAGCTGAGGTTTTATACATATGTATTGTTGATTTACAAACAGAATTAAATGGAAGAACATGGAAAATGGAAATAGTAGGACAGAAATGAGAAAGTTAGTTCATCTAACAATTAAACTCCTGTCGAATTCCTATTAAAAAGGCCAATGCCATATACAAATAAGTTAAAATCTGTATTACCGCTGGAAACCAAAAGATGTCATACTAATGTCCCTCTGTTTGTAGGGTGCAACGTCCATTGTATATCTATTAAAACAACATTATGAATTATATTTTAAATCCTTTTAGTTGACTGAGTAAAGACAAAAACATGGATACAGAATATTTTAATAATATAATCAACAAGAATGTCTTAATAGTGAAGAATTAACTTTGTACCCTAAAAAGACAGAATAAACCTTATTTTCAAATAGCTGTGGGATACTGACAGACACGGTCTTTTTTGTCAGGTCACAAAGATGAATCTCAGTAAATTTCAAAAGAAGAAATTATGCAGATCTATTCTTTGATCAAAATGCAATTAATAAGAGATTAAATAAAATCCAATAAGACATTAAAAAAGAAACATTTTAATAACCTTTCAATCAAAGAGTAGAAAGTAGCCATAGTTACAGATGACAAAATAACTTCCTAGCAGTGTTGATGAGATTTGGCCAAAGATGTGTTCAGTGATAAACTCATAGCATTATCTTCTTCCATTAGATAAAAAGAATAAAGTGAATGAACTAGATATTTAATTCAAGACTTTGGAAAAGAAACAAAATCTACAGAAAACAAAGGAAAACAGGTGATATAGTAACAGCCATGTACAAGCAGAAATTAATAAGTTAGAATACACATAACACAAATGATAGAATTTTAAAATAGGTCAATAGTTTTTCTGGTAAATATCTACAAAGTAGTCTAATCAGTGACATTTTAATTTTGACATGAAAAGAAAGGCACAAACATACAAAATTAGGAATGATAGAGTCATTTTAACAATAGACTCAAAGGTCAATAAAAATGAAATAATATGTAAGTATAGAGTTACATTTTTAAAATCTTAAGGAAAATGGTAGGAGCACATTAATTACCAAATTTGAAGAATTAGAAAATCTGAAACTAGCCATAACCAGGAAATTTAAGTCATTATAGAATTATGGTTACATTCTTTCAGTATTGGAAGAGATACAATTTTCACAGTTTTATAATATATTCCAGTAAGAAAAAAATCTTTCAGATTGTTTTAGCAAGTTATTATAATACTAATATCACAACCTGACAGGGTTAGCACAAAAGAAAAGTGCAGATTATAGAGCACAGATTTAAAAGATCCTAAATGAAATATTAGAAATTGACTGCAATATAGTAAAAGATTTCATAGAAGGAACTATATTATTATAACACATCACAGAGTCAAAGGAAAACTTTCATTGCAGGGATGCCTGAAGCCATTTGAAATAGGACACGTAAAAGCAGAGATCATAAGGGATGCCTACGTATGACTTCTTAGTCTAGGCATGGAAGCAGTGATTATGCCCTGAGCACCAGTGGCTAAGCAAGTGGTTTTGAAGCCTGTGGAGACCAAGTTTGGTTACCCCTGTGACTCAAGCAGGCACCTGGAACTAGAAGAATATTAGCACAGCAGTAAAACATTCGTGCAGGACCAATGACAGCATTTCTCATCAAGCATCACAGCAGTGGTAGATGTAACAGACTTCCCAGGCTCTGCTGTGATGGTTTGAAAGCTTCTCTGACTTTCTGTGGACTGAGTCATTCGAAGATTTAAAAAATCAATCCAAGATGAGTGGGGAGGGGGGCTTAAATTGGAGAGCTAAACTTAATGCTAATGTGAAAGTAGGAGCAATCATTAAAAGACAGGGAGAAGGGAAGCAAGAAGGAAATACCCAAAAGATAAACTAATGATTAAAAGAAATCTTCCATCACCCTTCAAAGTGAACTGGTAATATCCTTTAGAGTTTACTCAGAATTCAAGAGGCTCTCCAAGAAATATTTGAGGGCTTTACACACTCCCACAGAATATGAGACAGTCTACCTAATAAGCATGACTTCTCTGTTCAACGATCGACCTACCTGAAGAGCTAAAGCCAATTTCTTTGATAATTGTGTTTAACTCAGGGAACATATTTTTAGACATTCCTCACCATATGGTCAGATGAAATGATCAGTTTATGACATCTGGAGTTCATTTTCTTACATATAGCCAAGATTTCATAAAATGATTTAGCTAATCTATGCTGCTCGCAATTTCTTATAATCAGTGTAGAAGGCAGAAATCTGGATGTTTTTGCGTGTCTTATTTCTGTCTAATCCTGGATAGAAGGTCAGCACCTTTCATACAGTAAACCCTCAATGAATGTGTGAATGGATGAATGAGTAAACAATCAAACATCAATGAGTAAACAAACATCACAGTCATCAGTTAAGAGTCCAATGAAAGTTAACTTTGGTTGCTTCTCTGACAAAGAATTGAAACATTTCTTTTTCATTCTTGCAAGCTGGGAATGACAATTTGACAGGCTTCCAGAATAATAGATTTTTAGGGATTTCCAAAGCTGTTCTTGTTTCCTAGCTCTGAGTGATTCAGTTGTGACCAGTAGCGTTCTTTCTTTCAATATTCTAAGTCTTAGTCCTTTAAGTAAGCTGGTACGATCAAGTCCTGGCATTTAGCCAAGTGCAGAAACAATTAGGCCTGGAATATCTAGCCCAAGAAATGAATATGATTTGAGCCTTGAACATGAAAATCAGAGGAAGTTAGTCGACATGAAAAAAATTTCTAATTTCATTCTGAAGATTTCTGCATTCTGGTAGGCTTAACGTACCATCTGATGCACGTTAGTTTCTAGGACACCCCTTTTCAAGCAACCTTCTTGAATTCTTTCCTAGAGATTTTGAGATGACCCTTTTAAAACCATTTGATTTGACCCTGTAAACTTTATACTATTGGATGATACAAAAATCATGAATGCAAAATCAAAAGGTGATATTTTAAATTGGCTTATTTTATAGCCATAGAAGGGATAAAGCAACTTAGTAACCTTGAGGTAGGAGATGGGATTTGCATCATTCACTAAATATGGTGCTCTCCATGGCCTAATTAGAAGCTATAAACTGGGATCTCCGATGATCTTCCTTCATATTCTACCCTGGGTGAGTATAGTGAAAAGACTTTGAGAGGGACCGTACATCCCGTTCTGGACATCATGAAATACGGGTGTAAATACGCATGCATGAATCCAGTTACATACACATAACGTTTCAAGGGCACAAACAAAATTACTTACTTGTTAGGTTTTCTTTTTTATAATCTGAAGGGGAAAGGATAAAAATTTGTTTTAAGTGAATATCCAGATAGCTCCTGTGTTCTGTGAGAGAGTGCTAAGAAATGCAAGTTCTCTTTCAGCTTTTTAATATACAATGGGAAAACATTCTTCGCATTCGAATGCGAAAGGATTGCATCTTTGAAATTAAAACAGCTGTTAGGGCTCACCACATAGTTCCTTACAGATGAAGTTCATTAAAGCAACATGCAGCCATTCAGCTTTGTTTTGTGAGATCAGCATTTGCAAACATATGGCTTATTTTTGCACGCTGAAAAATCTGCTTCCTTGGGTAAGAAAGAGGACTTTATGCCTTTATTCCACTCCTCTGACAAAATATGAACTGTTTCTTAGCCATTTCTCTGCACATTCAATAAAATGTTATGAGCTCTCATAAGATCTGCTTATGAAGTAAGGTAAGATCTCAAGCAGCAGCGAAAAGTGCTCTTTAATTTCTTTTAGAACAAATGGAATAAATCCTTATGTTAACTGGTGCAATTAGGATAGCAATAGGATTCTGTTATTGGGTATGGAAGGAAGGCAGAACTCAAAAAATATTGGAAATGCCTAGAAATATTAGGACCTTAGTTTCCTCAAAATAGTAAATTTCTCTGAACCTCCAAAGTCTCAAGAGAACTCTGTTACCTAAATATGGCAGTCTGGTACAGGCCATGGGGTCCCAGTGCATGCTGGGGAGTTTGTTGCAGTCCGGCATGGAGAGCAGATGTATCCCAGATCTGTAGAGTCCCCTGTGGGTCTTTTCTTCCACCGCTAGCCATTCTTTTGCACAGAAGAGCTCCTTTACTGCCAGGCAGTATTCTCTAAAATAATTTAGGGAGAACAAAATTTGATGAATCATAGCACGTTGAAGCCAAATTGGTGGTGGAGCCTAAATCCCATATTTTCAAAACATCATCATAGTACAGTGTTTGTTCTTGCAAAAGTGTTTTTGTAAAGATCCTTTTATTGTAAATAATGTGAGAAGTTATGAAATATATAGTATATTATCCCATGAGATGAAATGCTGTCTTGTTTTGTTTTTAAAACATCACTAATGCTACTGGGGAAAAGAATGTTCAAGTTCCAACGGTAATGGATTAGGAATCCCAGATACGTTTTCTCTTAACTTCATATTAAAGTAACTACAAAGGTACAGAAACAAGGTACGCAGAGCTTTAAAAGATCACTGTCAAGCAGTTTCCAGCCTGGGAGGTTTTTCTGTAATCTCAGGGCTAATGGGCAGGGCCTGAGGAACACAGTCCGTGTCTCTGTGTGCTTTGTTCCCTAAAACAGAAGAGTATCACCTTCCTGAAAGGTTATAGGAGGGCTTGGGAGTCCTTACCCAGCCCTACCCTTGGAGAAGCTGAGTCCTATCCCATTGCTGTGTGTGCTTTCATCTGAGAAAGCTAGAGTAGGGTCTGTGTGAATATGAAGCTGCAGTGTTCATCTCTATGTTGTACTGAGTGAAAAGGCTGAAGAAAGATTAGGTAGACTAGTTGGACTAATTAGAATTTTGTGGATTAATAATTGTTCAAGCTTATCTTATAGGAAATAGGATAGACTACATAGGAAAAATCAAGTTAGTTCCAAATTAAGATATTTGGGATTCATAATAGGAGGAAATTAAAGATAATTAAAGAAATTAAGGATAATAATAGTAATGTCATTCATTCAATATATGAAGTATAAAAGAGGAGGAAATTTTGTGTGGGTGTGTACATTCGTGTGTATGTGTAGTTATATATACATGTATATATATTTTTTACTACTCATGCCTACACTCCTGCTTTCCCAGGCAACCACTTGCCAATATGGACCAACTGAGCATGTGCAGAATGAAAGGGCTGTGCATACTAATGTGATGGGATATAATGGGAGTCATGAGTACAACGATGGAATGTAGATTCTTAATATGTCTGCAGAGGAAGAGGGAACAGTGGGCTTTCAGGCTTCTGAGACTCTGAAGAACTGGACAAGCATTGCTTGGCTTGCTTCTTCTTATGCCTGGTCCCATCCTTGGGTCGTATAAGCAAATATTTCTGCATCCAGATGTTACAGTTAAATTGTGCGAAAGCAATATGGGACATGTGAAAGAACTTTTTAGCCCACATTATGTGGAGAAAGCAAATACCTGGGGAAATTATTTTTTATTATACATGGAAAAGACATATTAGAGAATTTAAAAAATTGTTTTGTTTTCATTGACATGCACTGAAGCATGGCCTCTACAGAAGAGTTTTTCACGGGGAAAAAAAAATCAAGATGAAATGGAAAATAGAGTGAAAACTAGGTTAAGTTAAACATGGTAGTGACTGAAGAAAATAAAGACCACAAAGAAGTGAAAACAACTTTGTTTCACTGAAACAAGTGAAATCTTCATTGAGAAAGAAACGGCACAGCAAGATATTGAACAGATAATAGGGGAAAACTTTAGAAGTTCTAACTGAATGCAGAAAGAAAGATGAAAATAGTGAGTAAGGAGATAACTGAGAGGGAGAAGCAAGCACGAAATTCAAAGTACAAATAACAATGTTTCCCAACAAGAAACTAGAGCACATAAAAAAATAGAAAAATACTCAGAGATATACTATAAGAAAAATTCTTAACATAAAAAGGACATAAGTCTGATGATGAAATCATATTATCCATTCTTTTTATATTACTTATAGGAAAGAAAATAATGAAAAGAAATCTACTCCCAAGTCTTTTTAAATGTCTAATTTTTTAAACAGTTATTGATTATATATGAGAAAAGAAAACCTTAATGAAGTATAAAAATGTGAAAATTTCTAGACTATATTTTTCAACCCCAATGTGAATAAATTGTTTACAAGGATTAAAAGAGTAGAAACAATTTTCAGATTAAAAAAAATACTCAGGGACTTCCCTGGTGGCACAGTGGTGAAGAATCTGTCTGCAAACGCAGGGGACATAGGTTCGAGCCCTGGTCGAGCAAGATCCCACATGCTGCGGAGCAACTAAGCCCGTGCGCCACAACTACTGAGCCCGCATGCCACAACTACTGAAGCCTGCATGCCTAGAGCCCATGCTCCACAACAAGAGTAGCCCCCGCAATGAGAAGCCCGTGCACCACAACAAAGAGTTGTGGCCCTCTCGCCACAACTAGAGAAAGCCTGCGCACAGCAATGAAGACCCAATGCAGCCAAAAATAAATAAATAAATAAATAAATAAATAAATAAATAAATAAAATACTTGTTTAAATAACAGCTGGAATTAAGAAAAAAATTTAAGTACACTACAAATGGCTCACAGATTTAAGAGTTAATTAACTATGCTATTCTAATAAATTTGAAATCTCAGTGAATGGGATTTTTTTCTAAAAAAACAAAAAAGTTAAATTATTTTCAGTCTTGGGAAAGAACATCTGTGGCCTATGCATGTAAACTGATCTAGGGCATAAATATTGGGAAATTACTCAATAAATTTATTTTGTGCTAGCATATGAAGATACAATTCAATTTTAATTCTCATTGTCCCTCAAAAGATACTTAGACGTCATGTCTGATGAAAATATAATCTTAAGTGAAGAAACAACAAATTATATGTCTTAAGTAATTTTTTTTTAGATTTTTTTTTGATGTGGACCATTTTTAAAGTTTTTATTGGATTTGTTACAATGTTGCTTGTGTTTTATGTTTTGGTTTTTGGGCTGCGAGGCATGTGGGATCTTAGCTCCCTGACCAGGGATCGAACCCACACCCCCTGCGTTGGAAGGTGAAGTCTTAACCACTGGACTGCCAGGGAAGTCCCTATATTAGTCTTAAAATGTCTCTAAACCCTCAAAATTTGCAGTAAGTTGAAGAATGGATCACTCTATTTTAATGACCTCTGTAGTCCTTTTATACTAAATAGAATGCCTTAAAACTATTTCAGTATTTAAATAGTTCCTGGTTTTATCAAAACAGTTGGAAATGTGCTGTGTTGGTAGTCTTCATGTGTTTTCTTGAAAAGCAAACAGTATCCATCCAGTTTCTAATATATACCCTGGGTACAATTTATCCTTTAATCCTCTCAGCTCTATTGCAGACGAGGAAACTGAAGTTTAGCTGAGGTCATATGTCAGTGCATCTAGAAAGCAGTACAAAACAGTATTTGAACTTTGTTCCATTTAGCTCAAAAGCTACATTGATTCCTGTCTTTTCTACACAAGAAGTAAATAAAAGCAAAGATAATTCTATTGAAAGTGGGTTTATAAATTTCAGTGTTTAAAGAGTAGGGGGTTTTAAAGAAATATCTGTTTTATAACTGTTTCTACTCCTTCCACCCCCCCATGACAGAAGAGTGTCAGTACTTAAATTAGAATATTGGGTGGAATGTATTTTAATATTCTGATATGCTCACCAAGATCTCATATTTATTGGCAAATAATACTGAAATACTTGATATGTAGTCTTTATTTTCTCTATCTTGGCTTACTAATGAGGTCCATATTAGTTTGGGATTTTGTTTTTTACTTCCTAGAAAGCAGGGATGTTTATGACTATGATAATAATGTGAACAGTAACAAATGTAATAGAATACTATACCTTTTATGACATTTTCTAACTTAGAGCCCTTGTATAATAGGGTATCACCAGTGATTCACATGGTAGGAATTTTGTCCAATTAATTACCTTATATTTTGGACAAAAGCCAGCTTTTGCCTTTACTCTTACACCTAACAACTTCCTCTTTTGAAAACTTTTCCTGTTGGCAGACAGACAAACAGAATTTCCCCATTTATTTATTTTGTAAATTTTACCTGCAGATGGGTGTAGGAGTAGGTGCCACCCCAGGGTTACATTCTTGGAAGATGTGGTTACACAGTAAAGCTTCAACAGCCGGCCGGCAGAATGGGCTCACTGCTTTCAGTTCAATCCAGGCAGTGTGGACCAGTAGTTCTTGGGCCTCCTCAGGGTCTGCGTAGGAGTTGTTGAAGAAAACAAGAGCATCTTTTGCCAGGACAGCATTACACACCTCCCCTCTGTACTCGGCGCAGTAGCCTTTGTTATCTTTCTGTGGTTTACTGAAAGAAGCAGTGAAAAACATTCCTGATCACATGCTATTTCTTAGCATTCCATCTGCCTTTTTGTTTGTTTTCCATTTCCACATCTGCATCACAGAAATAGAAGATTGCACCAGCAAATTGGTTGAAACGTTCCATCTGAATATTGTCTTCGTTTCCAGCAGCAATTATATTACCTCTAGCTACTCCAGAGGGCTATGAAGAGGATCAAATGTGATAATGGATGTGGAAAGCTTTGGAAATGCTCAAGGCCAGAATGGATGGGAGAATTTTTATTGTTTCCATCATAACTAAAATTTAATTCCACATTTGTTACATATAAGCATACATAGCAAGTAAATATATCTAAAAAATATATTCATCATCATGATTAATAAGTGACAAACGTAGTAATTGCTCTGATCCAAAGAGCTTGCAGCTTGATGAACATAGTTTATATAAATGTTATGATAATTAAGGATTTGAATTTTGTGGCACATCTTCCAAATCAGATCCTCTCACTCGCACATCTTCCCAGCCTTCCATTAAAGAATAAGAAGAAAGCCACACAGGGAGGAGAAAGCATTGGCTATGGCTCTCAGAGGAGCTAAGTGGCATCTTCACTTTTGCTATTTTCTCACCACATGTCTTGGGGAGAGTCATCTGGTCTCTGACAATGTCCTAATCTGTAAAGCGATGTAAGTAATTATCCTGAACCCAGGTTATTGTGGGTTCATGGGTAATATAAGTGTTAGCACAGCAATAAGATTAAAAGCTTATCTGCTATAACAATTGAAGAGGACAATAAGAAAAATGGAAAACGCAGGTGGTACTCCCTCCACATATCCACTGCTTCCTTAATGCAATGCTGGGAATTATAATAACTCCTATACTCTCCTGACAGATATTTATTGAGCACTTATTATGTGCAGGCACTGTAATGGTCTCAATATATCCTTATGCCTTCCATCAGATATCCCATTAACAATGACAGCAAATTCAAGTTGCACTCTCATTTAGATTTATACATCTGTTGAAATTTAGCATTTCATTATCTTTATATAAACGATTTCAAGGAAAGAAAATTAAACAAACTGGAATTTGTGGGGGTTGTTTAAGTTGCTAACAGACCCCATTTGAATTTGAAAAGGTGATTAGAAACATCATTGACTGGTCTTTGAAGCAAATCTATTAAATGAGATACAACTCATTCAGGTAAAACAATGAACTTCCATGAAATACTATATTTTAAAATGATGTTTTGTAACATAGAATCATTCTCTAATTCATACTAGCATTCTACTAATTAGTCAACATGAATTTTATTGCATTACCTGTAATTCATTGGGGATTTTTTAAGTGAACGCCTTGAATAAGAAAATGCAAAACTCCCATGAAAACTTGGGCCCTATAGGGTTGAGAAAACACCCAGAGAAATAGCTCATGACTCAACCTCTGAGGGAACTCAGGGTATGCTGACACTAAGAAAGTTCTAGAGAAGCAAGGATACTGTGCTTTAAGAAACTGAATAATAATACCTAACAATTAGAAATACCCCAAACTGGCTTACAAAATGGTCACACATATTGATAATCCTTCCATAAAAAGAGAGGATGGATAAGAGCAGGTGTGGCTCTTTTCACTTAGGAAAAAACTATGGGGACTTCCCTGGTGGCGCAGTGGTTAAGAATCCACCTGCCAGTGCAGGGGACACGGGTTCAAGCCCTGGTCCGGGAAGATCCCACGTGCCGCGGAGCAACTGAGCCCGTGCACCACAATTACTGAGCCTGTGCTCTAGAACCCGTGAGCCACAACTACTGAGCCTGTGTGCCACAATTACTGAAGCCCGTGTGCCTAGAGCCCATGCTCTGCAACGAGAGAAGCCGCGGCAGTGAGAAGCCCGCGTACTTCAACGAAGAGTAGCCCCCGCTCGCCGCAACTAGAGAAAGCCCGTGTGCAGCAACGAAGACCCAACACAGCCAAATATAAATAATAAATACATAAATTTATAAAAAACTACATCATGTAAAAGTTGAATATTTCTCCTAGTGTCTCTGAGCTGAGAATTATTCATCCGTGTTGCACAGTCATGTGTTAACTATCAAATGACACTTCTTTATTTTTCCATGAATATTTTTAATTTAAAAAATTCATGATTTTTTCTTTAATTACATAAGCAAAAAACATTTAAAAGAAAACATTGGAAACTAAGAAAAATTACACAAAAGAAAAAATGAAAATAGCCTCAGAGATAAGGATTATTAATAATCAATTAAGAACCAATTCTTAAAAAAAAAAAAAAAATTCTTTTTTTTCTGAGTTTCTGCTGCTTCTCTTTTAAAAAGCCCTGGAAAAATCTTTAGAACAACCTCAATGTGAATTAATAGTATGGAGTCCTCACTGAATTTTGAACATTAGCTATATAATGCAAAAGAAAAAAAAAAGAAAAAGCAGAATAGGTTTTGAATAGAAATGAGAAAATCTTGGTTTTAATTTTGTCTTCCTACCAGCTTGAAGATAACTAGCCTGTGAAAACCCTTTGCATGCTGGGAAAAACCATACAGATACAAAGTATATGGTTCTTATTAATTTTCTCTGTCTCTGTGATGTTCTGGGAGCATGAAAGACTTAGCTTTGGTAGTATATCAAAGTATATACCAAGTATATTGCTTGGATTAGCCCCACAAGGTAAGGGATATATAGTACCAAATATATATATACAGGAATAGAGTGAGTGGTTTAAAATACATAGGGAGGGCACATGCTGAACAGTGTGAGAATGAAAGATGGCATGTCTTCTGCGGGTGGCCTGTATTTTAATTTCCCTTTTACTACACACACACACACACACACACACACACACACACACACACACACACACACACACAATACATACATAAAGAGACTTCCCAGTCACAGTTTCAGTCAGAGTTGGAACAATTTCCTCCCCTGTTTTGCTGACTTATAAACCTCAAATTTTATGCAGTGATCAAATTTCAGAGGCAAGATATGGAGGCCAATGGGGCCATTTTTTCCCCTCATCCTTCTAACCCTATCACTTAAAAAATTTAAGGAGGTCACAGCAAAATCCAGGGAACAAGATGAATGCAAAAAATTTCCATTGGTGTCTTCTGTCTTTTGCAAGTGATGAGTGCCTTTTCTGTCCATCTGAAGTCGTATTTCTCCACATGCAGATCTTGGGACTGTGGATGGAGCAACAGCAGAGGCAGCTGGTCCTGTTGCTCGTTTGAACAGTGGGGCAGAGGTCACAGGGATCTGTTCACAGAATGCTGGTTGTTTTGGAATGATCTGCTGGACTACCTCCAAAAATTCTAGTTAATATTGCACATGGAGCCAGTCCCTCTCTTGTCTCCTGACAGACTGAACCTGGCTGACCTCTCTTTCTGAACAGTTTCTCTTTTTGGAGGCAACAACTGATATTTGATCCCACGTCCCCCTTCTAACTTATTTTATAGGAGACAACTCTCCTTGGTCAGATGGAATATTTAAAGTATTCTCACTACACCTTCTGCTTTTATTTTCTCTCTGCTTTAACATGTATGAATCACATTCAGTAGAATACAGTTGACCCTTGAACAATGTGAGTTTGAATTGTATGGGTCCACTTATACACAGTTTTTTTTCAATAAATACTACAGTCCTACACGATCCCATCCATAGTTGGTTGAATCCAAGGATGCAGAACGTGGATATGGAGGAAACACATAGACAGCCAACTCTAAAATTATAGGGCATGCTGGTTGGTGCCCCTAACCCCTGAATTGTTCAAGGGTCCACTGTTTTAAAATGTGATCTTCCAGTTTCTATGAGGGCAATATCTCTTCCCTTTGAACACATGATACAGTACATTGTCCAAGGGCACATCCAGATGACCAGCCATGGCATGGTTGGTTAGGACAACCCCACTACCCCAGCGGAAACTGCACACCTTCTTTTCCTGCCCTCCCTAGGGCTGGCACACGTGAGAACGGGACCTGTCACACACACACACACACACACACACACACACACACACACACACACACACACACAATACATACATAAAGAGACTTCCCAGTCACAGTTTCAGTCAGAGTTGGAACAATTTCCTCCCCTGTTTTGCTGACTTATAAACCTCAAATTTTATGCAGTGATCAAATTTCAGAGGCAAGATATGGAGGCCAATGGGGCCATTTTTTCCCCTCATCCTTCTAACCCTATCACTTAAAAAATTTAAGGAGGTCACAGCAAAATCCAGGGAACAAGATGAATGCAAAAAATTTCCATTGGTGTCTTCTGTCTTTTGCAAGTGATGAGTGCCTTTTCTGTCCATCTGAAGTCGTATTTCTCCACATGCAGATCTTGGGACTGTGGATGGAGCAACAGCAGAGGCAGCTGGTCCTGTTGCTCGTTTGAACAGTGGGGCAGAGGTCACAGGGATCTGTTCACAGAATGCTGGTTGTTTTGGAATGATCTGCTGGACTACCTCCAAAAATTCTAGTTAATATTGCACATGGAGCCAGTCCCTCTCTTGTCTCCTGACAGACTGAACCTGGCTGACCTCTCTTTCTGAACAGTTTCTCTTTTTGGAGGCAACAACTGATATTTGATCCCACGTCCCCCTTCTAACTTATTTTATAGGAGACAACTCTCCTTGGTCAGATGGAATATTTAAAGTATTCTCACTACACCTTCTGCTTTTATTTTCTCTCTGCTTTAACATGTATGAATCACATTCAGTAGAATACAGTTGACCCTTGAACAATGTGAGTTTGAATTGTATGGGTCCACTTATACACAGTTTTTTTTCAATAAATACTACAGTCCTACACGATCCCATCCATAGTTGGTTGAATCCAAGGATGCAGAACGTGGATATGGAGGAAACACATAGACAGCCAACTCTAAAATTATAGGGCATGCTGGTTGGTGCCCCTAACCCCTGAATTGTTCAAGGGTCCACTGTTTTAAAATGTGATCTTCCAGTTTCTATGAGGGCAATATCTCTTCCCTTTGAACACATGATACAGTACATTGTCCAAGGGCACATCCAGATGACCAGCCATGGCATGGTTGGTTAGGACAACCCCACTACCCCAGCGGAAACTGCACACCTTCTTTTCCTGCCCTCCCTAGGGCTGGCACACGTGAGAACGGGACCTGTCCCCTGATAGCGACACATCTTCTTCCTTATACAGCAACTGCCAGGTTCCCATTGTACTTTCCCAACAAATGTGATGGCCAGGGCCCTATGCCACTCTAAACTTCCAAAGCAAACTGGAATTCTTTTTATCCCTTCATGCCTAGTGTCTTTGTATATGATTCATTCTCTATGACAGGGATCAGCAAATAGAACCCACAAGTCAAATTTGGCCTACTGCCTATTTTTATACCACCTGTGAGCTAAGGATGGTGTTTACATTTTTAGATGGTTGAAAAAAATCAAAAGGAGAAGTGAAAATTATATGAAATTCAAATTTCAGTGGCCAGAAGTAAAATTTTATTGGAACAGAGCCAAGTTCATCCATTTACAAATTGTCTATGGCTCCTTTTGTGCCGCAATAGCAGAGCTGAGCAGTTGCAACAGAGACCATATGGCCCACAAAGCCATATACTTGCTATCTAGCCCTTTGCAGAAAACCACAAGTGCTTGTGTTATCCCAAGTGAAAGATGGTATGGAATTTTCATTAGTTAGCATTTATTTGACTATAATCAGTTTAAATTATTTTCATTTGCATTTAGTTGCATGTGAATGATTTATTTCTGTTCTTGAGCCCTTAGAATTTGTGCATGATTCCATTATTATGTTACCTTGTAACTAATGTGTGTGTGTGTGTGTGTGTGTGTGTGTGTGTGTGTCCCCTAGTAAAATGTAAATTTCTTGGGTGCAGGGAATATGTACAATTTGTTTTGTTTTACCACTTTCCAATATAGTGCCAGGAGTAGAGTGAGTGTTTTAAAGATGCACAGAGAAGACAGGTGTGTTGAATGAAACAGTTGTATGAATGAAAGATGGCATCTCTTCTGTGGTTGGCCTGCATTTTAATTTACCTTTTCCTGTGTTTATGTTGTATATCCCTTCAGTAGATATTCAGCTTCTCTGTAGAATCCTTCAGGTCAGGACTCTTTCTCAATACCTATTTATTAGGTAAACAAATGCATCAAAGCTATATGAATTGGGAAAAAGATTGAGAACAAACTAAATTTTCTTATCCAATGAATTATTTCATTCCATGGAATTAGAATCAATGGCTTGAGTTGCAGGTCCTGCTCAGTTGCTGTGCTACCTGGATTAGCATCATAGATATGAATCTGTGTTCTTGAGTCTGTCTATCTGAGCTCAGATTGAGGCTTTGTAGTTAGCTATGTGGTCTGGACAACTCTTGTGCCTCAGGTTCCTCATATAAAGAAAGAGGGATGATAGTTTTTGCCCCATAAAGTTACTGAAACATTAATATGAGAACAGTGGTACTCAAAAATGACCTACAAAACTTAACTGCTATTATTATTAGTAATTAACCATTCTAAATCTCAGTTTCATCATTTGTAAAATTAGATGAAATTTTACACATCATAGAGTTTTTATGAAAGGCAATTTTATGCAAATAAAATGCTGTAAGTTTCACAGTGTTATATTACATGGTGTTACTTTCTTATCTGCAGGATAAAGCTATGAGGGAGGGTTTGGGAGTCAGTTCTGTGTCTCTTTTCCAAGCCTATCCTATACTAACTGTGTAAGTCATGTGTACTCTCCAGTTCAAAGTATGTCTCTTTGATTCTTTTCTGTACAACAGGGATAATACTAGCATCTGTTTCATGTCCTGAGGATAAATTTTTAAAATGCATGTAAAGCTCTTAGCACAGTGCCTGATACATAGTAAGTATTCAACAGATGTTGCCTACGTTCATCTTCATCATCATTTTGTGAGAGTATTAAAAGGATTAGAAATTAGAAAGTTTTCTGAAAGATTACAGTACTCAACGAATAATAGATACTCAATAAATGGCATGTCAAACAAAGCGAAACAAGACATTGGTATAACAAGAATATCTTACCTCCATTCTAGTAACAGGAAAGGAAGTTTCCACAGGAAATCAAATTAAAGGGGAAAAGAAACAAAAGTTAGTACATTTTCATCTCAAGGTTTGTAACAGATAATTTTCATTCTTCTAATCTCTAAGTCTCTGAAAAGTTCCCTGCTTCTGCTAGGAGGCCAGATCCTGCATTAACAGGCAGATTTGGAGAAGGAGAGTAAGAAAATATTAAATGTCTCCAGGAACTGAATTCTTCCTTTCAAGCTGAGTCAACTGTGGCCTCATTAGCCCAGGCAGTGTCACAGGTCAGAACTTCCCTCTGTTGGCCACCCAAGGACTTTGCGTCAAGAAAGCAAGAAGTGGAGGTTGAACAGGAAGAGGGTGGTGGAGCTGTGATTCTTACAGACCCACTGGCTTCACGTGGTCACACAGCGCCCCACACTCAGAAGGGCCCCATGCTTAACTTAATGATCTGCTGTTATCATCTTGAAACACTTAATAATTTTTTAACAAGGGGCCCCACATTTTCTGGAGAGAACAGATGGAAGAAACAGGAGGAAATTCTTACAGAGAAAAGGGTATATAATTTGGAATGGGTAAAGGCAGAATCTAAGAGCAGCTGAGCAGGGAAACCTGTTGAAACATGAAAAGTCCAAGGTTATGTATGTGAAAGAGCCCTCAATTTAAGAGGTAAAAGAGAGGATTCAATACCATGGAGATCAACCAGAGCCAAAGAGAATCCAGCCATAGAACTTGGGAAGAGATACTAAGCTTAGTTAGGCTTCTATTTCAAGGACAAGTGAGGGAAAAAAAAAAAAATCAAGGTCATTTAAGGGTGCTCAGTCTTTTCAAGAATATTAAGAGAATCAAAGGATGATTCACTAGGCTTCCATGTGTTTCGTACAGAAATTTCTCCAGTCACATTTTCATTTTTGCAGTGGCGGGGAGAGTGGGGAGCAGGGAAGGGGTCCAAGAGCCTCCGATTATAAACAAGTGCTTTTATCTCAAAACTAGATTTTTAAAAATTTCAAAAACTTCCAACAGCCATCAATATTTGTAGTATCTTTTCCATTATCTGGAAAAGCCAATAAAATATTGTCTCTCTTCTAAAACATGCAGCCAATCTAATATAAAAAAGCTGCCTGATTGTAGAAAGAATGCTTACCTCTTGAGCCTAGCTGCAGAACAGCTGGTAGCAATTTAGTGTGGCTGCTGGCTGTTAGTCATTTATTCCTTTCCCTTTTATTAAAAACAAAAACAAACACCTTTAATCCATTGGAAGCCAGATGAAGCCACCATGAAATGCCAAGGGATGGGGCCTGTTTTGTTGGTAAGAACACTTCTACCTATCGTGGCTGAAACACTGGGTGATAGAGGGAGTCGTGTGCTCCTGCTACATCACCCCACGTCTCACAACTGGGGGGAACATTGCGGGGGACACGGGAGTGTGACTGTGAGACATGAGAGAGAGTGTGAAACATGGTAGTACGTTCAATCAGCTGTATCGGTTACAAAATAAGAGTCCAAAGTTCTAATTTTTTCTGTAATAGTGTGAAACAGCAACACAAAATATAGAAAATAAAAATATGAGATGAATGAATAAAGATGTGGTATGTATACACAATGGAATATTACTCAGCCATTAAAAAAAATGAAATAATGCCATTTTGCAACAACATGGATGGACCTAGAGATTATCATACTAAGTGAAGTAAATCAGACAAAGACAAATATCATATGATATCACTTATAGGTGGAATCTAAACTATGATGCCAATGAACTTACTTACAAAACAGAAATAGACTCACAGACATAGAAAACAAACTTATGGTTACCAAAGGGGAAAGGGGGGGAGGGATAATTTAGGAGTTTGGGATTAAAATATACACACTACTATATATAAAATGGATGACCAACAAGGACCTACTGTATAGCACAGGGAACAATACTCAATATCTTGTAATAACCTGTAATGGAAAAGAATATGAAAAAGAATATATATAACTCAATCACTTTGCTATACACCAGAAGCTAATACAACAGTGTAAATCAATGATATTTCAATAAAAATTAAAAAAATAAAAATACGTGGCCAATTTTGGGAGGGTGGGGAACTCCAATACTAACATATCGGATTTCTCCCTACTGCCCAGCTTTGGTTATGCTACATATTTTCATTTGAGCTTTAAATTTAGTGACCAGAATCCCCAGACTCTGAGGTCAATCCAAAGAAGGGGCATTGCAGACAGTGGGGGTGTTGGTAAAATGAGGAGTGGCTTATGTTAGAGGAGGGATGTGACCACAGACTCATTCCTGTACCCTCAGACTGAATAAGCAGAAAAGAACTCTGGACCTCAGTATTTCGTGAAGGACCTATTAATGCTATTGAGAATGGGAAATACAAACATGGATTTTCCTCTACTGGACCTCTGTGTCTATTTTTCCTAGCTTTATTAAGATATAAGTGACATTCAACATTGTGTAAGTTTAAGGTAGACAAGGTGTTGATTTGCTACAGTTACATAATGCAACTCTCTTAGCAACTTTCAAGTATATAATACAGTATTAACTATAATCACCAATGATGTACATTAGATTTCCAGAACTTATTCATCTTATAACTGGAAGTTTGTACCATTTGACCAATGTCTCCCCTTTTCCCCCACCCCACTGCCCCTGGTATCCACAACTGTACTCTGTTTCTATGAGTTAGACTTTTTCAGATTCCACATATAAGTGATATCATACAGTATTTGTCTTTCTCTTTCTGGCTTATTTCACTTAGCACAATGTCCTCAAGTTTCATCCATGTTGTTGCAAATGACCAAATCTCTTTCTTTATCATGGCTGAATAATATTCCGTTATATGTATATACCACATCTTCTTTATCTATTTTTCTGTTGACAGACACTTAAGTTGTTTCCATATCTTGGCTACTGTGAATAATGCTGCAATGAACATGAAAGTGCAGATACCTCTTTGATATCCTGTTTTCATTTCCTTTGGATATATATCCAGAAGTGGGTTTGCTGGATCATATGGTAGTTCTATTTTTAATTTTTTGCAGAAGCTCCATACTGTTTTCTATAGTGGCTGAACCAATTTACAATTCCACCAACAGTGGGTCAGGGTTCCTTTCTCGCCAGTACTTGCCAACTCTTATTTTTTTGATGATAACCATCTTAGTAGGTATGAAGTGATAGTTCATTGTGGTTTTGATTTGCACTTCCCTGATGAATAGTGATGTTTAACACCTTTTCATGTACCTGTTTGCCATCTGTATGTCCTCTTTGGAAAAATGTCTATTCATATACTTTGTCCATTTTTAAATTAGATTGTTTGGTTTTTTTGCTGTTGTATGTATTCTTTATGTATTTTGGATATTAACCCCTTATATATAATTAGCAAATATTTTCTCCCATTCTATAAGTTGCTTTTTAGTTTTGTTGATGGTTTCCTTTGCTGTACAGAAGCTTTTTAGTTTGACGTAGTCCCACTTGTTTATTTTTACTTTTGTTGCTTATGCTTTTGGTATCGTATCCAAAAAACTCAACACCAAGACTGATGTCAAGGAACTTACTGTCTATTTTTTCTTCTAGGAGTTTTATGGTTTCAGGTCATGTGTTTAAGTCTTTAATTCATTTCAGGTTAATTTTTGTGAGTGTTGTAAGATAGAGGTCCAGTTTCATTCTTTTGCATGTGGTTATCCAGTTTTCCCAACACCATTTATGGAAAAGACTGTCTTTTCCCCGTTGTATATTCTTGGCTCCCTTGTCATAAATTAACTGACCATATATGTGTGGGTTTACTTCTGGGCTCTTGATTCAGTTCCATTTGTCTAGGCATCTGTTTTTATGCCAGTCCCATACTGATATGATTACTATAGCTTTGTAATATAGCTTGAAATCAGGACATGTGATGCCTCCAGCTTTGTTCTTCTTTCTCAGGGTTGCTTGGCTATCGGGACTCTTTTGTGCTTCCATACAAGTTTTTGAATTGTTTGTTCTATTTCTGTGAAAAATGCCATAGGAATTTTAATAGGAGTATATGAAATCCACAAATAGCTTTGGGTGCTGTGGACATTTTAACAATATTAATTCTTCTGATCCATGAACATAGGATATCTTCCATTTATCTGTGTCTTCAATTTCTCTTATCAATGTCTTGTAATTTTCAGCGTACAGATCTTTCTCTTCCTAGGTTAAACCTATTCCTAAGTATTTTGTTGTTTTTGGTGCTATTGTAAATGGGATAGTTTTCTTCTTTTTCAGATGTTTTGTTGTTAGTGTATTTTAAAAAAACTGATTTCTGTATGTCAATTTTGTATGTGGAACTTAATTCATTGATTAGTTCTAACAGATTTTGGTGGAGTCTTTAGGATTTTCTATATATAAGATTGTATCATCTGCAAACAAGGAGAATTTTACTTCTTCCTTTCCGATTTGGATACCTTTTATTTCTTTTTATTGCCTGATTGCTTGGGCTAGGACTTCCAGTACTATGTTGAATAGAAATAGTGAGAATGGGCACTCTTGTCATTTGCCTGATCTTAGAGGAAAAGTGTTTAACCTCTTGCCATTGAGTATGATGTTGGCTGTGGGTTTGTCATATGTGGCCCTTATTGTGAGGTATGTTCCTTATATCCAGTTTGCTGAGAGTTTTTATTATGAATGTATGTTGAATTTTGTCAAATGCTTTTTCTGCATCTATTGAGAGGATCATGTAATTTTTATCCTTCATTCTATTAATGTGGTGTATGACACTAATTGATTTGTATATGTTGAACCATCCTTGCATCTCAGAGATAAATCCCACTTGATCGTGGTGTGTGATTCTTTTAATGTGCTGTTGAATTTGGTTTGCTAGAATTTTGTTGAGAATTTTTGCATTTATGTTCATCAGGGAAATTGGCCTTTAGTTTTCTTGTAGTGCCCTTACCTGGCATTGATATCAGGGTAATAAAAATTGGTGTTAATTCTTCTTTAAATGTTTGGTAGATTTAATACCTGTGTCTATTTTGATGGCCTTTGGCTCTTCCAGGACTATGCTCATTACAGGGATCATGAGGTGTCTTGCTGGTCTCTGTCACAAGGCTGATGACAAAGAGAAGGCATCTTGCCAATAACCCAGCATCCTGCTGAGTTTAAATTGCAACTTGAGCCTTTTGAGGTTGTGACTGGAGGGGAAATGGAACTTCCTGGTTCATAGGGAGAGGTTCCAAAAGTTTTTCTGGCTCCTTTTGATGACTAACAGCAAATGTAAATGAGTCAGAAAGAAGTATATCACATTTCTCAAATAATACATATGAATCTGGGCATACACATGGAAGAGTTTTGGGAAAATGAAGGTTGATCTTTATTTTTTTCTGTTGTTGTCTTTCAGACACTAGCAATATCAATAGACATAATCCTAAGCACTAGACCAGATTTTTCTATTTCCAGTTTTCCTGCTGGGTTGAGTAAATAAACAGATGGAGTGAAATCTTCAAAGTGAAACACAGAGAATGTGACAAAGGGGACTGTTGACTACAGAACACTAGGGGAGGATGGGGATGGCTGAAATGAGAGAAAGGAGAATTTGGGGTAAGGAAGCATTGCCAGAATGTCCAGGGGAGGCACCAGGCTCTGGGCCTCTGGCCAGCCCCATCAGAGGCCAATGGAGAGAGATGCCTAAAACAGAAGTGGAGAGAGCGAATGTCACAACCAAGCTCTGAGAGATCTGGAAAGCAAAAGACCGTGCTTTGAAATGATTCTGAATTAAAGTGGTTCCGTGAATCCCTTTTTCACCAGAGTGGCCTCACTTCCGTGGAATATTGGTTCAGGGAGCACCCCAGAGTTGGGAAGTATGACAGTTTCCTCAGTGATGGCAGGGAGACTTTTATGAGGCATCTAGCATCTTTTGACTGAAAAGAACAGGTTAAGGAGAGAAAGAAAAATGGCAGGTGCCTCATGGGGTTCAGAGGTCTTATTCCAATGCACCCATGAGACACCCTCATTAAATCTGCCTGAGGAAATTTTAGGAAAAGTAGGGGAGCTTCAAGTCTCATAGTAAATGGGATCCAACAGGAAAAACAGATCAGGGGATGAACAAAAGGGCCTTGCAAGCTTTTTATGAATTAGCTACGTGAGGGAGTCCCTCTACTCATTTTAGTAACTTTTTTTCTATGTGCAGATGGATTCACATTTGTTTTTCAAATACATTACCTACAGGCCCATTGGCTGAAGTCAAGTCATTGCTGGTTTCAGTCTACATGACCATTGCCCTGACTGGGGTCACTGCTCCCTATCTGCATTCACCTCTGCTGTGGCAAGTTTCCAGTCCTCTCTGCTGCTATGTGCCAACTCACGCGTTGCTCCCACCATTCCTTTCCCCATATGCAAATTATCCTGCTATTTTCCCCCAGGCTGCCATTGCTATTTGCCTTCATTCTCACTCTGGTCTATTCTCAACATTAATGACTTCTCCCTGCATTCTGGGACATTACCTTTCTATGCTGCCTGTCCACACTTTAAGGCTCTCTTTACCACCAGAAGATACCATCATTTTCTTTAGGATTACAGCTTCCTCTCTTGGTATAGTCTGTTTCTTAACGGTGTTGGATCAGGTTCTCATTTGGACTAGGACTGGGATGAAAGGGGTGATGTTGCCGTATACACTATGGTGGTAATTATGCTCTATAGTCCTTTCAGCCTCTTGGAGATCATGTCATGTGATGGATCTGTCTTTGTGTGTGAGGGGGAGATAAACCCATTTTATCAGGTTCTTCTTTTTATTGATCATAGCACTGCCTTCACACCTGTCTTTGTACTTATGATGGGTGGGCTCTGAAGGTTACCGCACTAAAGGGGGAGTCCCTGACCAGTCCCTTCAGCTTGGTATGTTGCAGAAAGGTGGAAGGTAAGGGAATTAAGAATTCAGATACACATTTTATAGATTCCTTTCTCTGGACCGAAATCCTAGAAGAGAGGTATATTGATAAATTAAGGAAAAAGCCAAAGCAGAGGGAGTTTTTCCTACTTCTTATTTGGGACTCTAAAAGCAGAGAACCTTTTATGGACCTCTTACCCTGACATAGGATGGCCATATTAGTGTAAAAATGGTAGCATGACATGGTTGGGTAGACAGCAGAACTGAGTTGGTAGGTGTGAATCTTTTTTGGATTTTGTGTAACATGAAAGTGATCCAGAAGTTGCTTCAGGCTGCATGAGGGATAAGGAAGGAGCTGACTTGGATTTTTAGTATATCTGGTATTGTAGGGAGAGCCAGGGTGACCTATGTGCAGACGTTGCAGAGTAGACTCTAGAGAGGGGCTCGATGAAGGATTTGACTGAGATGTAGAGGGTTGTGCTGCTACAGGAAGAGCCTCAGTGGGGCTGAGCCAGACAGGGAGGTCCTCTGGGTCCCAACCAAGCCAAGAGATGAGATCACTAGTTCTCTAGCTGTAGACTTTACCAAATACCAGGGCGGGTCCAGAGGACACCACTGCATAAATCCAAGACTCCTTCTCTCTTTCCATGTAGGGAAGAGATACAAGGGGAAAGGGGAGGAAGAAACGTGGCAGGAAATTGATCTTTGAATGACTGAATAATTACCTGAAATGAGACTCTCTTCCGATT